GTAGTTCTTAACTCAAGTGTGTATTCACAAATCACCTCAGGGAGCTTGTTAAAAGTGCAGATTCCTGGGCTGAGTTTCCATCCATTTTTCTTTTTTAAAAAATTTCCATCTTAGGTGGAACATAGGAATCTGCTAATACATCCCTTCTAATCAGATTCGTATACCAAGAACTCATATACTAAGAAACACAGACCTAACTTTCTGTAGTAAAGCATGGTCCTAACTTTGCAAAGTTATTCAAAATTATTTTCTAGATACGAATATTATTTTCTCTTTTGAAACATTATGGCTACAAAGAATAGTCAAAGGCTATGAACCCAAGTCTTTTACAAAGTCAGGAAATATGCATTTCTGCCACCCTTTTGGAAATTAGTCTTGAAATGTACCATGGCAGTTTATGGTCTATTATTTAGATTAACTCCTGTACTGTTATTAAACTTTCCAGATGGTTTTGTTTATCTACTCAACTGGAAGGCAAGAATTATATACACACATATGTATATATTTCAACATTGCCTCATACTCTTAATAAATATTGATTAAGCCCTCAATAAACATTTTAATTCTGGTTAAAATGCAACCTAACTTGCTTGAATAACCTCTTTAGTTTCGCAAGCATGAAGCCACTTCTCTCGTTCATAGTGCTTCAAACCAAGTTGTTCCAATATCCCCTTGCAAGGCAGAAATGAAGACCATGCCTAATATTCATTAGAAATTGACAACTGTGCAATTGAGCTCCATTATTTAGCCACAAGGAAAAGGCAGAGCAACAGTAATAGCTTTGATTGATTACTTGGCAAGTGACACCAAGCCCTTAGGGTGTTCCAGAATCTGTTTGGCCTATAAACCTGTTTGAAAACCTGTGTCTCAGAAGTTAAAGCTTAGCTCAAATGAGGTCAATATTATAGTTATGCTAACGATTCTACTACTCTCAGCCTTTTGACAGGCCGGTACAATTAATCATTAACTTTGTTTTCAAGGAAAGACAACTTTTGGGAAAATGTTTCTAATTTAAGCGATTTGATTTCATTTTGATTTTCCTTCCCTTAAGAAATAGTTCTGCCAATCTTGATTCCTTTGGACCTTATGCTTTCTAAGCCTTCATTCCTTCCAATGCCTTAAGTTCAGAATGTTTCTGAATACACAAGATTTAGGGCATCACCAGGGAGATAACTTTAGGCTCTGTAAAAAGAGGAAATAAGCCATCGGATCTGAAAGTAATTTTTGATAATAGAGACTTCACAGGTTCTCAAAATCACCTTTGGCTTTAGCTGCTTTTTAAGGGTGTAATGCTGAGCTGGAGTCCTGACGTGGTGCTGTAGTATAAGCTCTGGACTGCTAACCACAAGGTTGGTGATTCACTACCAGCCGCTTCTCAGAAACCTGGTGAATTATTCTGCGAGACCTGTTTATTTCTCTTAAGATTAAGGTCAAAGCTTAATGGCTAATAAAGTAGCATTTGTTCCCCTCCAAACAGGCCAGTTATGGTCAGTAACTAGGAGTATACATCCAAAGCACATTCTTTTAGTCTTTTCCCCAGGATGGGCGTTGAGTGATGATCTCAGATGTTAATCATGCTAATCTGTTCATTTTACTATGAGGTTTCCCTCTTTATTTCTAGAAATTGAAAATGGAAAATGACCCTGGATAGAAAGTTATTGAATCAGGTCTTGCCACATGTGTGAAAAAAAGGTATCAAGTTCACTTACATCCAGTATTATCAAGTTCACTTACACCCAGTATAACACTCTATTTTCTCCTATGTAAAGAGAACTTTGGTAAACAGTCCTGGTGTGGTGCTCTGGGTTAATGCATTGGATTGAAAAGTTGCTTGAATCGCAAGTTCGGCGGTTCAAGCTCACCAGCTGCTCCTCAGAAACCCTATGCAGGGTCGTTATGGGTTGGAACTGACTTGATGGCACTTAACAACAACAACAACAAAGAGAACCTGCACATAGACAACTTAGCCCCTAATGTGTGCCTTTACTACCATAGATCCTGCTTCAAACTTTAATGTTTCTCTGAATTGGTTTGCTGACACTGAACTAAACCAAAAGTTGTGGAATTTAAAAGTTTCTCATCATATTAAGCTTCTTAAAGGCAGGGCCTGTGTCTTATTTATTTTTTATTCACACCACTCACATCTGTGCTTGCATAGGCACTAAATTAATACATGCAGTTTAAAGACTTCAATGAATATAATCTTTTCCATTGGCAAGAAAAAGATTAGGAAACTGCAATTATTTAATGTCCACTTGAGAGGCCGTGGTAGCAAAGTAGATTACGAGCTAGGCTGCTGGCACTCTGAGAGAGAAAGATGACGCTTTCTACTCCCTTAAAGATTTAAAGCCTCAGAAATCCTACACAGGGTCACTATGCGTTGGAGCCAACTTGGTGGCACACAACTGCCAAACAGAGGACCCTAGAAGGAATCCTGGTGGCATAGTGGTTTATGTGTTGGGCTGCTAACCACAAGGTCAGCATTTCGAATCCAAGATGAGGCTTCCTGCAGGGTAAACCTCTACAGCCTTGGAAACCCTTATACATGATCACTGTGAGTCAGAACCAACTTTATGGCCCACAACAACAGAGTGCACAAAAGGGGTCCTATCTGGTATTGTAGGATAAGCACTGGACTGCTAAACACAAGGTTGACTATTTAAACCCTTCAGTTGCTCCTGGAAACCCTACATTGCGTCAGGCTACTTGGAATCAGAACTGAGCTGCAGGAATTTAACAACAACAAAGAAGACACTAAAATTAACTATATATTTTTTAATCTCTCAGGCTCAAGTTCAACACTCTTTCAGACTCAGTTCTGATACAGAAGGCATCTCCCATCATAGACACAGTTAGTTTCTCAATTTCATTTTAATTCAGCCATATCTTCTTGCCCACATTGTTGTTATTGTTACTTGTCATGGAGTCTGTTTTTGTTTGGTAAATTTCTGGCCTAATTGAGATCTTTACACACTGAGATAATCCTTAGCTGTATAGGACCATAATAAAACCATTGGGTAAGCTGTGGAACAGAACAATAATATTGATGCATGTGATAGAAAACTGTATATATAGAAATATATCAAACATATACCCATATTTATGCAAATAAATGAGATCAGAAGAAAATGTCAACTGTGGTTAGTAAAAGATGGTAGAATAGCAAGGATTTTAAAACATCTTATGATACGTTGCTATTTTTTAAGATTATTATAGTGAATAATAGTTCTTGAAGGGGAAAAAATGCACATTATATAGTATACTTCCTCAACCCAAAGTTTCAGGGCTGAAGAAAGGGACATGACTCAATGTCCTCAATATGAAGTGAAACACACTTGAACTGGGCCTTACTTGTCCTCCTCATCCCCTGTTCTCCCTTCCCTGCATCCCATTGGGCCAGGGGAAGAGGAGGACTATTCATTTCCCTAACTTCAGTGACCCATGTTGTCACGCATATTCCTTAAACTCTGTGGGAGCAGGTGAATAGTACCACCTTTAAGGAGAGGCTTTTCTTTCATATTTCAATTTTTGATGTTCCTTTTTTTATCTGTATGGAGTCCTGAATCTTCTCCCATGTTTATTTTTATTCATCCTTGCAGGGGGTATAGAGGGGGAGCCAATCAGGGCTTCTGGCATGTGAGCTTTACATAAAGGAAACACAATGCAGAGTTCCTTGTAAGCTTCATAAAACACAGGATTTATGTGAGCCCTTTCATCTATATCCATTCATATTGCTGCCCTGCTAGGCAGCTGAGAGTGGATGAAAGTCATCATTTGAAAAGGCCTTACTTTAAGGACTGGATACAGTGGCTCAAATGTTGCTTCAGCTCTTCTTCCTTTTCATACGACTCTAGTACACTGTGTGCTTCGTCATGCTGATAGCAGTAGATTTTATAAGTATCTTCCAGTGGACCTTTAATCTGCAAGAATACGTCTCCTGATAAATGCAAAAGAAAAGCAAAATGACATAAAGTCAGATCAATCTGGCACCTAACATGTTTATTATTTTATAGTGTTAAATGTTAAAAAGTTGGTTGGGTCTGCTTTATTCAGGAGAACGAAGAGTCTGAATGTTTTTTCCCCCCTTTTACTGTCTCTCCTCTCTCCCCAATCCTCTTTCTCCATCCCCTTTCTCTCTTTCCTCTTTCCTTTCCCTTTCATTTTTTCTTTCTATCTCACCTTCCCTCTCTTCCCCTTGCCTTTCTTCTCTCCCTCTCTTCCTTCCTTCATTTCATAAAGAAAAATATGAAAAGCTTAATGGGAATAGGTAGCAAAAGAAGGCTGGTTTTCTCAAAGGTGACTTTGTTTGCTGGCTTAGTGGAGCATCATTGAATTCATACACTTCCGAGTTTGTTAGTATGAGTTTGAATCAGGCTGTGCTATAGATTGACTTCGCAGCTTGTGAACTCTTTACTATTACATATTGTCCCTATTATATGGATGAGAAAACTGTTTCCTCATCTAAACGTTAGGAACAACAATAGACACAACTTTACAAAATCATTATGAAAAGTAAGAGATAGCATGTGTAAAGATCAGAGCACAGTGCATATATTAAAGTGCAGTATTTCATGTTAATTTGTTTGAGGTGTGGGACATACAATTCTAAGTGCTTTATAAGTTACTTTTCACTATTTATTACACTAAATTTCTTGGTATTCTCTGAAAGGCAACCAACAGAGTTTATAGAAATAAGGTATTTCCTTATATGTGATGATAAAAAGAATAGAGCCATTATTCCTATGGAAAATCTCTTGGATAATACCATGAACCAAATTTATGACTGTCTGTTCATAAACCAGCATGGACTATCTGTATCCATCCTTTGGGTATCACAAAAAAAATTGGATCTGTAACTGATTGATCAACTAAATATTAGACAATAGTTTGATATAATGATCCATGCCACCGTTTAAAAATATTTGGAGTAAGCATCTACTGGAGTCCTGGTTGGAATTGTACGATAAGCACTTAACTGCTAACTGCAAGTTCAATGATTCAAACCTACCAGCCGCTCCTCAGAAACCCTTTGTAGGGTTGCTATGATTCAGAACTAACTAGATACCACTTAACAATAAAAAAACAACAAGCATCTACTACCTAACCTCCAAAACAAGGTCTGGAGATCAACTTCTAAAATTTCAGTCACAACTGGAAGTTCACTATGAACACATGGGGTCACCAAGAGGCAGCATCAGTGCAGCAACCAGCATATTTACCCAGCGCAGCACCACGTTGGATGAATCGAGGCACAGAAAAAGTATTAGTTAGGGTCAGCTCTCAAAAACCTTACCAATTTGAGTTTGTTAAAGATTTAGAGGCTGAACTGATTGGGACGGGCAAAATTGATTTGCATAGATTAGGATCTATATAGTAACAAGTGTAAATCATTCTTCCTACAGAAAAAGTCATGCCCGTAGTATTTTCAACATGTTTTTGTACACATTAACCATGGTACTTCCTAGATTTAAAAGGAGATAAAATGTTATTTTATCCATATTAAAGATGGACAAATCTGAGCTGAGACAGTAAATGATTTTTCCATAGTCCTGCCAGTAGATGGCCAAGTCAGGTGTAGGGGCCCTATGCCTCTCATTTGATTCTTAGGTTTTAGCTCACCACATTTCAGAGTTTTTTGGTTTGTTTTTAAAGGTTTTTACTGTGAATTGAGTGAAAATTTACAGTGCAGATCATCAGTTTTACATTCAACAAATCATACCCCTTGTTTCATTACAATGATTAAAATCCCCTCCAGGTACCATCGCTTAACAGTATTTCTCTCTATTCAATTGAGCTTTAAAAAAAAACAAAACAAAACAAAACAAAAAACACTAAGGCATATATAATAATTTAAATTCCCCAAATTCTGCAAGTCTGCCTCCTGGCCACCAGCCCTTAGTCCCTCTCTTCCCATGAATCTAGAGTCCTCAGCTGCTCCCCTGCACCTCTCCCCCACTCCACCCCCATGACCCCATTTCTGCCTCCTTCTCTGGCATCATCGCTGCTTCTCTGAATAAAGTCCCACATTCTGCTTGTGCTCTTCTCCCTTGATGGTCCTAGGGTCCTTTGTTTCTATACTGTAAGATTAACCACTTCCCTGTTTTTGTTACAAAACTTCTACCTTTACAGTTGTGACAGTTGCAATTAGTCATGATAACAATTATTCACTATTGAATCATACGACTCTTATCCCCATTTCTTTTCACCAGACCCATCTAGATAAGATTAAAACTATTCAGTGGGGACTTTCTTCCCCACCCCATACTCTTAAACTAAACTCCCTCTTGAAACCTTGTAAGCCAGTCACTTTGTGCCTTTATCACAATCCATTTTAGGTAAACAATGTCTAAGATGTCCTTCACTATCTATCCTGTGTACAGAGGGGATAGCATTGATACTTTTGAAGACTCCTTCCCTCTTTGTTGGTATTTAGAGTTACTAACTCCATGAGTATAGGTCAGGTTCATCAGATTGTAACAACTTACCCTTGTTACCTTTATCAAAAAAAAAAAAGTTTTTGTTTTTTTTTTAAAATTTTCTTCTAGTCGAGTTCTGATTATCAAGCCATTGAGGCTAGGTCAAATGGATACTGTCTGCAAGTTGGGGTGTTCTTGTGCATCTCGGTTCACTTCATATCAGCTAGAGCCTTCACTCTCAGCTCTAGCCCTCTGTGGCTATGTCCTTGTCCATGCACTCAAGTGTCCCCAGGTCTCACCACACTTTGGACCAACCAGGCCTTCCTCTTCTCTCTCTTATCTCCAGGTCAACAGGAGTCAATGAACTGTGGTTGAATTCAGACCATTTCTTCTTCGCCGCCTTTCCCCCACTTCCACTCACCAGTAAACCAATGTGGTCACCAGCAAGCTTACATGCCTGTCCTTGTGTTCCCTTTGAGTTTTTGAGTTTCAGTCTTAGAGGGCAGTTTGTCCTGAAGGAACTTGATTGCTTGCTTTGATGGCTTCCTGGTGAACAGCTTGCTTATTCTAGTAGTAGCCAGTCATGCTGACTTTTTTTTTTTTTTTTTTTTTGGGGGGGGTGGGGAGTTCCTGATGATCTTTCTTTGAAGATGTATCTTCTGTTGCTCTAGCTGTTCCAGGTTGGTCTGCTTGTCCTTGCTAGTGGGAATGTCCCACCTCATAAGGTTCTGGATGGGATTCAGGATTCCACCTATGGTCCTATACTCTGCAAAGGCTTTGCAAGAGGCTTATTTCACTGGGCAAGTACTAGAACCCATTTTAGGTATTCCAATCAGTTATAGGCTGAAGATGGGCTTGTAAGTTTTCTATAATCATGTTTCCCAATATTCCTTTCTATCCCACTCAAGTGTCTATTTTATAGTAGTAGACAAGGGAAACCAATATTCATAAGACAGCCACGCATTTTAGTATTATTTCCCCTCTTCAAACTATTCCTAGATCCTTGTATCACAGAACCCTGTTGTTCCAAGTTTGAGCATGCATCACTATTAACCTCTGTCCCACTTAGGCCAAGCTTCTTGAATGATTATTTTTTCGCTTTTCAGGATGTTAGGGAAATTTTCTTCCAGAAGCTCTTCAACTATCTCCTCTGTGGACTTGTGTGATTCTTCCTATTCCAGAATGCTGATAATTCTTAAGTTATTCTTCTTCATGTTGTCCAACATGAATCTTAGGCCTTCTTCAGATTCTTATCCTTTTTTGTGCTTGCTCTTCTATCTTAATAGTGTTGGGATATTTATTTTCTAGCTCACTAGTTCTGGCTTCTATGTCTTCAATTCTACTCCTTTGCCATTTCAGTGTATTGTTCATTTCTGATATTCTATTATTAATTGTTCGGACTTCTTTCTGTAGGTTTTGAATTGTTTCCAATGCTGTATCTATCTTATTTGATAGTTCCTGTAGTGCTTTCCTGACTTCTTCCTTATTTTTCTCAACACCATTGTATAGTGTTTTGATACATTTAGTAATCATTTTTCTGAATTCCTTCTCAGGCATTTCCAAAGCCTTCCCATCTTCCAGTATGAAGTATAGGTCTCCTTCCAGCTCATTTGCCTCAGTCACTTTATCTTGTTTCTGGACATGTGCTGATACCGTCATCTGTTTCTGTTTTTTGGGCATATTCAGGAGTTATCTGTGGCCTTAATACTTAGATAGGTGTGTATTTTGGTATTTTTTATGCTTTCTGATTGCCTCCAGGTA